AGGATTCTCCTGTTTCTTCCTCTTTTGTCCCTGAAGGACACTGATCTCACAATGAGGGCCCCTCCTTCGTGATGTCTTCTAAAGCTAATCACTCCCAAGGCCCCATGTCACACTGGGGCTTAGGCCTTCACCATGTGAATTTCAGGGGACACAAGCATGCGGCCTACAAGGCATTAAAGCAAAGTGGGGGAACAGTGGGGGGTTGTCTTACACACACCCCCCACCTCCGCACCATCACACATGGCGTTTGTCCTCAAAGGGCCTCCCCTTCGGTGCTATAAAAGATTTAAAAAACCGTAAGACTTAAATAGCGATAAATAGAAAATGTGAAGAAAGGTCCGTGCTAAACACGGTATGCATCTGGAAGAAGGAAATTCGGAGTGGGCAAGGTCACAGAGAAGCGTGGGACTCGCGTTGGGCCTCCGAAGAGCTGCCTGCACGAGGGGACAGGCCGGGCCTCTCATGGAGACAGATGGCGAGAGCCACAGGCAGAGAGGTGGGCGCTCGCCTCGCTGAGTGCAGCCCAACAGCCACTTGCCTTTGAGGCTGAAGGGCTCTTGTCTGCTGCGCTTTGACAAACTCGCCTGACTGGTTTCCTTAGCGCCAGGAATGCGGACGGATGGATTTCTCTGGATCTCGCGGATCCACACCTCACGAGTCTCAGTCGCAAGTGCAGAGACTTTGCTTCTTTTTTTTTAAGATATATTAACAATGGTTATATTTATATAATGAATAATTCGTAACTTTACAAAAGATTTTCTCTGCAGTCCCTAAATGACAAATCATCATATGGAGAAAAAAAAATCATTTAGCATGTAGTTAACGTACCTTTCTAGTTATGTTAATATTTACATCGACAACTAATATGCAGATTATAAAACTAGCTACTTTCTGACATTATGCACCTTACCTCTCGAAGTTTATTTCTTACGTCCGAGATCTAGTGCCCTTAAGTGTCCTTAGAATTGTGAAGCAATCCGTCCTTTGAATGGAATTGGGAAAAAAAAACTCTAAAAATTAAAAATTCAGAAAACGAGATTTTGTCTGGCTTGACGTTACATAGTCAGAATTGTCGCTGTCACATTATCGAACAGCCAGTCTGCTCTTTCGTACCCCGTTTCTAACTCATGGTATCTGAACCTGCGCACTGCGATTGCTTCCTGGACACTTAGCGGACTGAGTAAAGTCCCAGATGGAAGCACGCTCCTCTCAACACGTGTGCTCAGGAAAGATCGCTCATGTTCATTGCTACCCTGTGGCCCCTGTTTTTCCCTTTGGATGACCCACCATTGGGTCTTGAGAAGCCAAATGGCATAAACAGGCTCCGACGGAAGCCAGAATTCATAAGGTCAGAGGCC